TAGTGAACCCTTTAATAAAACCTGTGAAAGTCCAAGCCAGACAAAAACCTAGCATGGCTAGGGAAGTGGTCAAGAAGCCCCAACCCCAGCTGAGGACCTATTGGCAACTGATAGCTTCTGGGAGAGGAGGAGTCAGTTTTCTTTAAGAGTGTGATACCTGATAGGTTGATCAGACTCTAAGGGATGGACCCATACCCAAGATCATTTGGAGAACATACTTTAGGCCTGATACGCCTTTAAAAAATGAAAAATAATAATAGAGGACATTAAGTCAGGGATGGGGTAATAAGGTGGATGTGGAACTGGGAGAAGAGGTCTGAATATTACCAAAATACATTGTATGAAATTCTCAAAGGATCAATAAAAATAGTTTTTAAAAAGGTTTATGAGGATAACAATTAAACATGCTTGTTCAGAAGTTGACATTTCATCAAATATGTGAACATGAAGGTCGAGAAGCATCCATTTCCTAAGAAGCTGGCCTGCTGGAATTGGCCAATATTAACATCATTTTACCTATTCTGATTTAATTTAGAGGATCTTATTTTTCTGCCTAATTGCTCTGTCTTTACTGCCAATACTATGCTAAGCAGAAACAGCAAAAGCAAACACTCTTATCTTCGTCCTGACTTTAGGAAAAAAATTTCCATCTCTTTGGGTTGTAGAGATGGCTCATTGGTTAAGAGTTTTTGCAGAAGATGTGGGTTCGAATCCCAGCACCCACATGGTGGCTAACAACCATCCATAACCTAGTTCCAGGGGATCTGATGCCCTCGTCTGTCCTCCATGGGCACTACGTGACACAGGTGCATGTACACACATGTAAGCATAACACTCATACACATAAAAATAAATAATTTTTAAAAAATGAAAATTACCGTTTTAACCATTGTAAGTATAAAATTCAGCAGCATTTAGTGCATTTGCATTGCTGTGTAGCCATCACTGCTATCTGCCTCCAGAACTTTTAATTATCTCAAGTGGCAACTCTGAACTCATGAAACAGTAACTCCTTACTCCTAACCCTACTCACATTCCTCCTGTATTTCCAGCCCCTGGCAGCCACTTCTACTTTCTTTCTTTATGACAGCATGTAAATGGCACCACACAATACTTGTCTGGTTTTCAATTTAAGCTATTTTTTAAAAATTATTTATTTTTATTTTATGTGTGTATTTTGCCTGCACATATGTAGTGCACCACGTGTATACAATGCCCACAGAAACCACAGAGGGTGTCAGATTCCCTGGAACTGGAGTTATGGATGATTGTTAGCTGCCGTGTGGGTGCTGAGAATTGACCCCAGGTCCTCTGTCAGTATACTCAGTGCTCTTAACCACTGAGCCATCACTCTATCCCTTAAGTGATTTTGTTAAATGTCCCTTTTTATATGTCTTATTTATCTTTTGTTCTCCTTTGACATTCAGCTCTGTTAAGCTATTCTTTTCCACTTCTTTCCTAGTTGTAATTACCTCTTTTCCCTCTCCTTATCTGTTCTTTAATCTCATAATCTTCCTCTGGGTTTTCCTTGCTCTTTGCAAAGATTATGTTTCAGTCTCCCAAGAGATTGTGAAAATTATGCACCTGAATAACTTTTTTGAATAAGGCACTTTTCTTGTTTTTCTCTAGTTTCTCCAAGTGTGTTCTTTTCTGGCCATTACTGGTATGTAGACACAAACAGTTATATCAAGGCTAATATTTGATGGGTTAGCTTTGTAATAATTTGTATATGCTTAATAACTAACCAAATACAATATTCATTACAAAAGATACACCCCATACAATGTCTTCCATCTCCTCAGTTGCTGACAGAGAAATTTTTCAAAGGCAAGGGTGAAAGAAGACACTTCTTTTACCCTTAGGGGGCTGAAGGTTGTATGTGCCTTTGTGCCCAGGACTTCTTGTCTTTCTGCCTCTAATTTCATTTTCTAGAAAGTGAGATATGATTTGCTGATTATTTTTGCCTCTCTGGAAGGAGTATATTTGCTGCTTAGAAATTGTCAAATTTGAATTGTTTAATTACTATCACACAGCACTCAAACATTATATCAAGTTTTAAGATGTTTTAATGCCTCCCACCTCACAGTAGCATTAAACTGAGGGTCTGAAATCTGGTAATTTTCTCATTATAATAAGTTCATTTCAATGACAGGTGACAGTTCAAACTTTTGGTCCCTATGATTTAGAAATGTACTGACCCACTAAAGTACAGAGATGTACTTTAAGCTTCCAGCTTGTTATTAAATATACTCTTATTAGGGCACTTATTAGGCTCATGGGCAGGCTTCCTAAAATCACCATAGTTGGCTGCCTTTCCATAAAGCAGCTTGTGGAGAGTTACCATGTATCTTGAAAAAACTATTTCATTGGTCCTTAGTTGCTTAAATCAATGAATATATCCTATTCAAAGACTAGAAAAGAAAATGTTTCAGTTGGGAGTCTAAAGAATTCTGTCTTCTCTCTGGTTCCAACATCTTGTTTTATTAAAGCATGTAGTTGTGCTTTTTAAATATGCCCAACAATGTACTATTACTTGATTTCTCCTCCTAATAAAGAGAATAGTCAAGAGTTGGCAAAGTCAGACTCTCAGTGATTATGCATTAGAATCACAAATACATTGTTTTGTTGTTTTGTTTTTTGAGACAGGGTCCCCTTGTAGGCCTAGCTGGCCTAGAACTATGTACACTAAGCTGGCCTCAAACAGAGATATGCCTGCCCCTGCTTCCTGAGTGCTGGGATTAAAGGCATGTGCCACCACATCCAGCACAATAATGAGAGGCGACAATTCAAACTTTAAGAAACCCTCACAGCTTATCCTTAGGAGGTGAAGCGCTCATTGCCTCTCATACAATATGGATTCCTATTCTGTTTACACTGGGATTCTATTATTTAAATTTCTTAACGTTCACAATACTTACTTCAATTTATATTATGTACTTTTCACTTGCACAATGTTTGTTAACTCAGAGTTTTCAGTTGGTCAGCTTCAGAACAGATCAAAAAAGATAACTAAACATACTCCAGTGGTGAACTTTGAGCTAATTTAAACATTGCTACACAGTTCTAGATTTTGACCTTAGATAGTTGGCTTGTTATGCACAGGCAATTATCAGTTACTTGTGGACATGATTTAATGACTTGGTATGTGTAGAGGCTACCAATGTTCCCCGTAATGTTAGAAGCCTGCACTCCTCCTAGGTCTTCTCACCAACTTTTAACCATGGTATCTTCACATTACAATGTTTTGTTCTTTACTTCTGTTTTGTCTTAGCAGGAAGCAGAGGTGACAACTGGTCTTGCCACTTGTTTTGTTTCATCAAGAATCTCCTCAAAGAATCCTCAAGTCACATGCTATTGTGAAAGCCACAAGATTGAGAGTTAGCTGGCCAGTCCAGGCAAAGGATACAGAGTGCCAAAAAGCCATGGGATGGAGAATGTGTGGTGAACAGTAAGGAAGTCACTTTGGCTAGAACTCACTAAGTGGGAAAATCCTACAAGAGGCACACCCAGAGGCTAGGCCATCCAGGGCTCATAGAGGATACTGTGGGTTTTGAACTGTATTCTCAGGAACCTGTTGTAAAGTTTTCTGAGCAAGGGACTAATAAGGAGAGCCTACACTCTGAAGAGATCAGTTTCAGCTAGATGAAGAACAGGCAACAGTAAAGCATATCAACCAGGGTCTAGTCAGGAAAGCAAAACAGTTACTTCATACAGAAGGAATTTCAAGTGTAACCGTCAACAAGAAAGGGATCAGCAATCAGAAGGGGCTCAAAAGACTCTTGGCTGGAACTCATGGGGTCACTATCCACCCCTGTGCCATTGGAGATGCTAGCACTGTCATCCTCTACTAGAGGGGCCACCTTGTCCAAGGAATTCCTAGAGTCATGGGTAATCTCATCTCCACTTCCACTATAGAAATGTCAGCACCTGCCACACTACTGAATCCATGAAGAAACATGTTAGTGTTCTCCTCTTGCCTTCTGATTCTTGGCTGTTCTACTGGTAATCCTTACTGGCAGAAGTTAATGGGAATCCTACTATGGGCTTCTGAGGTAAAAAGTATAAAATGCTAAGAACTAACACAGTCATAATCTCCAGAGTCGTGGGTACAAGCAGGGAGACCATGAGGATGCCATTGCTATATATAGTAGATACATATTACAGTTTGAACTAGAGTGAATGTTGCTGGATTCAATATACAGTATGAAGGTAAGTAAAGAGTCAAGGATTATTCTAAGAACTCTGGCCTGAATAAATCAGATACAGGATAGTCCCATTTATTAAGACAGGGAATGCATGCTGGATGGAGGAGACTTGCATTGTTTGGGGGAGAATAAATCAAAAGTTCTCCCGAGGGTAACTGTAAGTGCCTATAATAAATCAAAATGGAGAATAACATGTAAATATGTCCTTGTGAATCCAGAGGAAAGGTTGGGATGAGAGCAGTCCCTGACCATTTAATGAGTGAGTGTAAGAAGGTTGCCAAGGACTTAGCTGCAGGCCCTTAAGCACTTCAGAGTTTAGAAAGGAGAGAAAAATCCAGCGAAGGAAACCTGGCGGAACCAAGTGCGTTAAACAGGAGAGCAGGAGAATGGAAGAGGGTTTCCAGACGAGGACCAGCCGAGTGACCACAGTTGCTGAGCAACGCAAGATTAGACCTGAGGTCTCCCTTCCCGCTGGAGCGGAAGTTGGGAGGAAAACCCGGGCGCCTTCTCTAGACCTTTCGGCCAGAAAAAGGAACAGATTAGATGGTTACGCAGTCATGAGAATGCGATGAGAACGCTCCTGTGCACACTGCAGTGCTCGGGTTTTTCCCCAAGCCCGGGGAAACCCCGCCGCCAGCCCACGCAGCTCCCAACACCCCACAGCCCAGGTGAGAACCGCCCAGCGCACTCGCGACCGAGCCTTCCCCACGCCCCAACTAGGGGTCAGGGAGTGGGCGAGGCCTCAGGGTCACGTGCGGCGGCCGGGCCAATGGGGTACGCCCTGCCGGTTAGTCAGGATCTGGTGGACTAGTCCTGCTCCGAAGGCCAGCGTCCACCAATCGGCGGGTGGGACCGTGAGGGGAACCTTGTCTAAGGGACGCTCACTGCCGGCAGCCCGGTGCACTCGAGGCCGCGCCCGGCCCTCCCGCACGCGCACTTGCCTCCTTCCGCCGCGGCGCGTCTCGGATCCCGCCATGGAGCGTCAAGTCCAGCGGCTCCGCCAGGCGTTCCGCTCTGGCCGCTCGCGACCCCTGCGGTTCCGGCAGCAGCAGCTCGAGGGCCTGTGTAGGATGGTGCAGGAGCGGGAGAAGGACATCGTGGAAGCCCTCGCCGCGGACCTGAGCAAGGTGGGCGCGTCAGGTGGGAGGGGCGCGCGGAAGCTGTTCCTCCTTTGTGGAGGCTTTCTTTTCCAGCCCCCAAAAGGAAGCAAGATTCCTGCCGACTTCCAACTCACGTGGGAAGTGCGTGCTTTTCTTGGCCCCTGTAGTTCCTCTTCTAGCCCACTTCTGCACCTTAACTTTTGTTATGGTTTCTTTGGGGGGGGGGTGTTTTCTCGCCTAAATTTTCCTTTCTGACTTTGTGTATTAGGTATGTGTTCCTTACACACTAAGGTTGCACTGGCCATCACCTGGGGACCTTGTTAAAAAATACAAATCCTGCTTCAGTCAGTCTGGGATTCCAAGTTTCTAACGAGGGCCGCCTCTTTGCTTTGAATGGCAAGGTTTTAAGTAGTGGTTAAGGTATAACTATATTCTTTTCTGTATTTTTTTTTCTTTTTTTCCTCCACTTTTTATGTGTATGTCAGGCATAGCAAGGCCTTCCACTGGATTTATAACTCTTCCCCTCCCTGGTCAAAGACTATTTCAAAGTGGCTACAAGCCAGATACTCCTTTTTAATCCCAGCACCTGGGAGGCAGAGGCAGGTGAATTTCTATGAGATAAAGGCCAGTCTGGTCTGCGAGGCCAGTCTGGTCTGCGCGGCTAGTTCCAGGCCACCTGGGGCTAATAGGGAGACACTGTCTCAAAAACAAACAAAAGTGGTAACAGTAACTGTAGTAATAACTATAAAATTTTCTTTAAGTACTTTTGGTGACTAGGGCTTGTGATACTAAGTAAACAAGATAAAATAAAAAATATTTTTAAAGTCCTATGAATTATTCATCTGCAAGCATCAGATTAAATGTTTAAAATTTATTTGTTTATTTATTTATTTTTTGGTCTTTTTGAGACAGGGTCTCCCTGTAGCCACAGCTGACCCGGAACTCACTATGTAGACCAGGCTGACCTCAAACTCACAGAGATCCACCTGCCTCTGTCTCCCAAGTGCTGGGATTAAAGGCATTAAATTTTATTTTATGTGTCTGTGTGCAATACCTCCAGAGGTGGGAAGAGGGCATTGAACCTGGAACTGGAGTTTCAGACAGTTGTTAGCCACTATGTGGGTACTGGAAACCAAACCTGGGTCCTCTGCAAGAGCATCCAGTGCTGTTAACCATTGAGTCATCTCTCCAGCCCCAAACATCAGGTATTTTATATATGTGTTTATGATTACTAAATTATACATGTGATATATATATATATATATGATTGCTAAAGAAATACAGTAAGTTATCTGCCTGCAAGAATTTTAAACTTGGTTGGAAAATAGGACATATGCAGATAAAATGTGAATATAATTCTAAACCTGTGTGTTAAAGATGAAATATTAAGATGTGAGTCAAAAGCATAATTGCAGTGGTACTGTATTGGTCACTTTTCTGTTGTGATAGAAACACTGACCCAAGCAATTTATAGAAGGAAGAGTTTATTTGAGCTTATGGTTCCAGGGGAATTACAGTCCGTCCTGGCTGGAGGTGGCTAGAGCAGGAGCAGCAGAAGCAAAGCTCTCACATCATCATGCAGGCACAGGAAGCAAGAGGGCAACTGGAGATCTGGCAAGACTTAAGAACTCTGTAAGCCCATCCCCAGTGATGTGCTTCCTCCAGGATAGCCACACCTTCTAAAACCTCCCAAAACAGTGCCATCATCTGGGGACAAAATGTCTAAATACTTGGAGCCTATGGGGGACATGTTCATTCAAACCACCACATTCTACCCCCTGGCTCCCATAGGCTCATGACCATATAAAATCCAAAATGCATTTACTCCAACTTTAAAAGTTCCCATAGTCATTATCAGTCTCAATACTATTCATAAGTCCATAGTCCAAAGTGGACTCAGGTAAATATCTTCACTGTAAGCCTTTGTAAAATCAAAAGACAAATTACATACTACCAACATACAGTGGAACCGAATACACATTACTATTCCAAAAGGGAGGAATGGAGGCATAGTAAGGAAATACTGAACCAAAACAAGACCGAAAACCAGCAGGGCAAACACCAAATCCAGTAGCTCCATGTCCAATTTCTGGGACTTTACTTCCAAATGTCTTAGATGGCTCAGCCTCTCTAGCTTTGCTGTGTGCAACGCACATCTCTCTCTTGTGCTGGTACCCACTCCCTGTATGCATGTCTTCTTGGCAGATGCCTCACAGTTCTGGCATCAAACTTCTTGGGGTCTCCATTGCCAATCAGGCTTTACCTTCACAGCTTCCCGTAATGGCCTATCAGGGCCTTCTTTATGCAGAGAAATCCCTGCTTCATGCTGCCTGGTCTCTGAAGCTCTCTGAAACCTTGGAGGAAAAATTGATGACCCCTTCACTCTTCCATCTTTCATGCCTCTAAAGCCAGCACCAGGTGATCGACACTGCCAAGTTTGACTGCAAGTTTGGGATGGACTCCAGCCCGCTTTATCCATTTTAGCTTTTCTCTTCAGTCCTCCCTTTGGCATTTTCCTTTCACAAGTTGGAGGCTTAACTGGGTGTGGTCTTGCCCTGGAGGCATTCTCTCCATTGTTTAAGTTTGACTCTCTAGGCCCCTCCACAATTACTTTAATCTTCTTAATCACTTTAATCTTCTTATCAGTGGCATCCTCTCCATCACGTGTCAGGGCTCCAACATTAATCTTCCTAGCGCTCTTTTTCAATCCAAACTGTATTTCTTTTTGCCCCATTTGCTCTCTTTCACTGTAGATCTGTATAATATTCACCATTAATAGCTATGCCACCATTCCTACATTAGGCTGTCTTGAAATTTCTTCTGCCAAAGAAATTAGCCCATTACTTTTCAACTTAGCCTCAGGCAGGCTTTTTGGTCTAGGGCAGACTCCAGTCAGACTTTGTCAAAATATCCCAAGTGCTACTTAAGTCCTTATTTCCCTCTGGAACTACGTTGTTCTCAGCACTGCTTTCTTCCAGGTGTTTACTAGAATGGCCTACAGCAATCAACCACTTTTCTAGCCCAAACTTGAAAAATCTTCCACATTCCTCCAAAACCCCACATGGTCAGGTTCTTCACAGTCAACAGCCCACTCTCTGGTACCAGTTACTGTATTAGCCACTTTTCTGTGGCTGTGATAGAAACTCTGACCCGAGCAACTTATAGAAGGAAGACTTTATTTGAGCTTACCATTCCAGGGGAATTACAGTCCATCTTGGCAGGGAGGTATGGTGGCTGGAGGTGGCTGGAGCAGGAACAGCAGAAGCTAAGCTCTCACATCATCACACAGGCACAGGAAGCAAGAGGGCCACTGGAGATCTGGCAAGGCTTAAGAACTCTCTAAGCCCACCCCCAGTGATGTGCTTCCTCCAGGATAGCCACACCTTCTAAAACCTCCCAAAACAGCACTATCATCTGGGGACAGAATGTCCAAATACTTGGAGCCTATGGGGGACATTTTTCATTCAAACCACCACAGGTACCTAAAGTGTGATCAAGGCAGGCTGTTATTAATCAGGGAAGTGTTGCTGAAAGAGATAATGCTTAAGCCTACTTTTAAAGGGCTTGGATCAGGACAGGAGGATTTACAGGAATTGAATATATTAGAGAGGAAGATAACAAGTGTATTGACATGAATGCCTTTTAGAGCTGGGTGGGGGGGTGAAAAACATCTGATAGCAAACCAGGGGAGTCTAATATGCCAAGTGTCACTGCAGGTACTTGCCCTGGTTTGACATCCTAGGCTGAGTGAATCATGTTTGCTGTGTAAGAATACCTGTAACTTTCTTTTCCAGAGTGCACTCAATGCGTACAGTCATGAAATCATTAGTATACTTGGGGAAATTGATTTTATGCTGAGGAATCTTTCTGACTTGGCTTCTGCTAAACCAGCAAAGAAGAACCTTCTTACCATGATGGATGAGGTCTATGTTCAACCAGAGCCTTTGGGAGTTGTACTGATTATTGGAGCTTGGAACTATCCTTTCGTTCTTACAATGCAGCCACTGGTGGGAGCTATCGCTGCAGGTCTGGTGCCAGTTTATCTGTATATCTTTTAAGAGGGTTCTGTCATACTGGTTTTAAGTTCAAGATAGTGGCTAGTTAAATACATTTGCTTTGGTTTGCCTTTGTTAACACTAGCAATGTATTGAGACTTCTTGTGTGTCTCTGTGTGTGTGTGCACATGCGCTGCTGAGAAGTTTTACATGACTATTGAAGTACCTAGGGAATGAATCTGTGAGCACAAAAGGCATCTGTGTCCGTAGTCCCAAGAATGTGAAGTTAGGCATCCATGTTCTAACATGGTTTTAGTTGTTGGCTCCAGCTTTAGACAAACCATTTGATGTTGCCTAATGAGTTTCTTCATTCAAATAAAGGTGTTGGGTGTAATGCTAGCTTGGGTGTATAGCAAATCACAAACAGAGTGATTTCTTATGGAAGCTCTAGACCAACAGCTTATGTTGACATCGCCTGTTTACTTAGCTTACTAGGGCAGAGACCCAAGGTAGAACTGGGAAGAAAGTGATAAAAAGTTGGGGGAGTGTGATAGAACCTGTTTTCTATGACCTGGAGATACTGAGAACTTAGCACCTGGGAAGGAGAAGTTCATGAAAAGAAAGAGAAATGAGATGAGGCAGAACAGATTTAAGAGCTGTAGAAATAATTGAACCAGCCAGTATTCCCTACATAAATATCATTTTGGTAGCTGTTTAAGTTCAAGTATTAGATGATGTTGTTCTCCTTTTTCCTTTGTTTAGGAAATGCTGTGATTGTCAAACCTTCAGAACTAAGTGAAAATACAGCCAAGCTCTTGGCTAAGCTCCTCCCTCAATATGTAGACCAGGTAAGACTATCTTGCTCTATCTTCAACATACCTGTTTATTGTGGAAAACACACCTTTGATTCTCATTCTAGTGCTTGTCACTGCTGGCTGGGGATCTGTACGGTTTCTTTAAGCCTCCAACAACTGGTTTAATAAAAGAAGTTAAGTTCCAAAGTATGCTGTGGACTAACCCAGCAGCTTTGGTTACATAATATGTTTAGGCCCATGACTTTATAACTATCCTGATATTTATATATCGTTTTCTGCCATTTGGCATTTTGGAACATAGAATTTTAGATGTATTCATTTAATGAAATAGTTAATGAAGGGCTGGTACAGTGCTGAGTGCTAGAATGTTTTTATTACCATCTCTTTTGTCCTTACAGAATTTCATACTGTGTTAGTACATGAATACATATGCTTTTAAAAAGGGCGTGTTTGCCGGGCATGGTGGCACACGCCTTTAATCCTAGCATTCGGGAGGCAGAAGCAGGCAGATCTCTGTGAGTTCAAGGCCAGCCTGGTCTACATAGTGAGTTCCAGGACAGCTGGAGCTACAGGGAGACCCTGTGTCAAAAAGACCAAAAAAAAAAAGGTGGGGGGCATGTTTGTGGCCTCAAAACTACAGAAAAGAATGTGATTTCCTGAACTAGCAGGTAGATCCTCACTTTGAGTTAAAAGTGCAGGCATTTAAGAGTATCAAAGGCTGCTGGGTATGGTGGCACATGCCTTTAATCCCAGCACTCTGGCAGTAGAGGCAGGCAGATCTCTGTGAGTTCAAGGTCAGCCTGATCTACATAGTGAGTTCCAGGACAGCTAGGGCTACAGGGAGACACTGTCTCAAAAAGACCAAAAGAAAAAAAAAGGTTATCAAAGGCTGAGTGGGGAAGGTGATTTCCCCAGCTTTGTGGTAAATGATCTGTATCTGATTTAGTTCTTGTGTCCTCCTACAGAAGGAGTTTATGGTGACGCTGTGACTGCTGAGGTCCATATGCAGCTGTTGCAGGGGAGAGTCATTTAGCTTTCGTCAAAGGCAACTTCAAAATATCCTACTTGTATTATGCTCATTAATTTGAGACTTGGGGCCAAGTCATGCTCTTTGGAATAATTTTTCTCTCTGTATTGTCTTATCACTGTTATAGTAGCTCGTAGAACAGTGTTGTTCTAATAGCTTGGTTGTCCAGTCTAGAAGGATGACATGGAAGACAGTGAGAAGATAGAGGATTGAGCTCTTGCTTTGCCCCTCACCAGGAGTAAATTCCATATGGGGAAGGTGATAATACACCTGCTTCATTTAGCTTGGTGGGGTGATTAATGAATTTACCTGAAGATTAAGGCATAGAAAAATTAAAACTTAAAACATATTGGGCAGTTGAACTTTAAAGTGAATAAGAACAAATTAGCCTTTCAGTGAGCAAAAGATATGAGGTCGGCAAGCTAACTCACACTTAAACTTAGAACTTTCAAACATCTCCTCATCTTTTGTTCTCAGTCATTACTTTTCCATGCTGTTATGTTCCAAGTGTTTTCTCTCATAATACTTTCCTACTAACAGCATAGTGCATATAATGGCTTATTCCACAGAAGCTATGTGACTTCTCCCACTAACAAGCTCAGACTGCTCATAATGTTCAGTAGCTTGCTTAAAGTCACAGATGCTAATGAGGGGCAGAGCCCAGAATCAATCTAGATATATTTCAAAAGTGAGTGCCCTCAGCTGTGTATACTGTTCATTCAGCAGATATGGACTTGTTCTGTACCTTGGTCTTAGCCCTGCTTTGCCTTATGTAGAGAGTCAACCTTTAGATTAAGACTTGGAACTACAGGGCTTGCCAAACTCAGGTGGTAAGTAGAATACTAGCCTAGGGTGTGCAGGGCCATGGGCTGTATCCCCAGTACTACACACATACACACACACACACACACACACACACACACACACACACACACAAACAAACACAAACTATAAAGCCCGCACAACTAGGACCTGTCCTGTGGTTGTTGACTTTTTCACCAGAAAAATTCCTTAGCTGCTGTGTCTTGTGTCATGGCTGGGTAGTGGTAGACACAGAGAGGGATTGCGTGGTATCCAAGAATAAAATATTATGCACAAGACAATTTAATATTAAAGAAAGTTGGGGGATGAGGAGGCTCCCTGTTCCATAGAACAAGGGCACTGAGTCTCTTAACTTCCAAGGTTTTAGTCACAGGGATGGGGTGCTCTAAGCTGGTGTTCAGGAACAAAGGGTAAGCAGACCAAGGACATTTCTCTGCAGGAGCTCAGGAAACAATTGGCAACAAAATATAGCCTGTTTGCAAGGTACAGAGCAAATGTTCACACAACAATATAAATAACACATAATTTTAAAAAATCCAATCTAGACATAAGAGACACTGCACTTCAGGACCAGCATCTGCATACATGCCTGTCTGGTTCTGCCATCAGAGACACTCTTGGCTACTGGAAGCCTTGCACATGTGGTCAGTCATGCTTTCAGAGTTCAAACACGGCAATGGTCTCTCACCAGTCAGCTTCAGCACAATACCCTCCCATCTCACATTTCTCTGGTCAAATCCAACCATTTGCGCTCATTTTATTGCCAACCTCATAGAAAGTATTAGACTCTTAATTTCAAATAGGTGATGGTTTCCAGAGCCCATCAGACCCCATGTCTTTTGTTTGTCTTTAATCACCTCCCTGATCTGCCCTTTTTAGGAAATGATCTTGATCTCTTAGTTTTACTGAATGCTACAGATTTATGTTGAAAAATTGCTGATGTTAGGCAATAAGATTAATTTGACAGTGCAAGAATTTGTTTCTCTTTCTTTAAGGACCTGTATGCTGTTATTAATGGTGGTGTTGAAGAAACCACAGAACTTCTGAAGCAGCGATTTGATCACATTCTCTATACAGGAAACACTGCAGTTGGAAAAATTGTCATGGAAGCTGCTGCCAAGCATCTGACCCCTGTGACACTGGAACTGGGAGGGAAAAGTCCATGTTACATTGATAAAGATTGTGACCTGGACGTTGCTTGCAGGTGAGACTTTGGTTTTTTGAGGTTTTCCCAGCACAGTAGAATCTTTTCTTGATAGGTTGATTTCCTTTAGACTTGAACCTCATGACTTATGGCTCCAAGACACATTAGACCACTAAACGGTTGATGTGCTCAGGAGTAACAGATGTCTTTCAGACTGTCTTCTGGTGCCATAGCTTGAAATAAGGAGTGGTGTATAGGTCCTGATAGCACATGATTGTCCTTAGGAATTTCAGAAATGTTCTTTGTATTCTCAAGATTATGGATAAACCTGGCAAGAAGTTTTACTCAGAGTTGCCTCATTTGTTTGTTTGTTTGTTTGTTTGTTTTCCCCCCAGTGTTGAGCATCGAATCCAGGGCTTTAATCCTGTTAAAACTATGCTCCACTTTAAGCCTTGGCAAGATACTTCAATAGCCGGGTGTGGTAGCACACACCTTTAATCCCAGCACTTGAGAGGCAGAGAGGCAGGTGAATTTCTGTGAGTTCAAGGCCAGCCTGGGCTACATATCAAGTTCCAGGCCAGCTGGGTCTACAGGGACCCTGTCTCAAAAAGACCAAAAAAATAAATAAATAAGAAGTTTAATGTTCTGTTCATCAGTGAAGTAGATAATCCATAGTATTATGTGTACTAATAAAAGTATTTAAATTCCCAGTTGAAAAGGTGTTATGTTTATCTCTTAGCTGAGATCCTTTGTTGACAAAAACTAGTTTTATTCATTTTTTAACTTGAATAGTACCTTACAACTAGGAACTGGAAAAGTAAAAGGTTTCAGATTCTGTCTACTAATTTAGGCTTAGCTACCAGCAAGTGGCAAAACAAAAAAGTAACTACCTGTGTGCTCTGGGTGATGTGGCTTTCTTTCCCCTTCAGAGATGTGGAGCCAAGGAGTAGATGGGATTAATTAGGCCAGGGTTCCATGTTGGCTTCCTAAATGGAGCATAACTGCCAGAGAAAGAGACCCTTGATGAATATTGAGGTTGTGGGCTTTTCCATACTAGGAAGGGGTTTTCCCTACCAAAGGAGGGGAAGGGTCCACAAAGAGGGGTGTAGTGGAGGATACTGGGTATGCCCCATTTTATTCCTGCATGTCTTCCCAGCAGCATCTAAAGCCAGTGGAGAGGTGGAGTCTGATCTGAGCTCAAGTCACCCAGGGTGGCCTTTGGGCTGGATAAGAGGGAACAAGGCTGTTGTCTTTTTCCTTCAAGCAGTGTCTTTATAGCTTGTCAGGTTCTATTTGCCAAACTGAGTTTGAGAACTTTCTTGCTACTTAGAATATTTTACCTCAGTTGAAACTGCATTCTAAGGGCCAGTGAAATGGTTCAGTGGGTAAAGACACTTGTCTCACAAACCTGACAATCTGAGTTTGATACTGAGAGCCCATGTAAAAAAGAAATAACCCAGATGGGAGGCCTTGAGTATCGCAGAAACAATGAGATCTTGCCTCAACAAGGCAGAAAGAACAAGTTCCCAAAAAGTTGTCCCTCTGACCTCTACATGTACACCATGGCAAATGTACACACACATATATAAAAAAAGGTCTAAAACCAATCTGAAATACATTCTGAGTTATAACTTGATTTACAGATTAGAGATTTTATTTGTTTTTGTAATACTAAGCAAGATGTACAGAGGAACGCCACATAGTAATGGTCGAATTAGGAGTTCTTTATTAGTAGCCAGCAGTTAGGGAGGGGGTTATTGTCCAAAAGAACTCTTGACCCCAAGGAGAAGCAGGGCAGGATTTATAAAGCTTAAAACCACAATTACATCATGCCAAGGGCAAAGCCAATAACCATAGTTACATCAGATCACCATAGTTACACCAGAGCAGGGGCAGGTCAGTTAACAAAGAGGTTTTCAGTTAACAAAAAATTTTGATTTGGAAAAGACAAGTTTCTCAGAATGCAGAAACAATGGGCTCCATAGAGATTCAGGTATAGCTGGGAGGGAGGCTACCTGGCAACTTGTAAGTTTTCTGGTATTATAGAAACCGTGTACTCCCTGAAACTACCTGCATGAGATCTTCTACTTGGCTGGCTGCAGTGGAAATGGCTGGGCAAAAACCTTACAGGGTAAAGCAAAAGTCAGCTGGAACAAAATAGAGTTAGTTTTGCCATTTCAGTTTTTTTTAAATCAGTTAGCAAGTATATGAAGATGGTTACTCATATCACCTAGATGAGATTTAGAATAACTATGAAAAGAAATCTCTTGGCTTCTCTGTGAGGGATTATCTAGATTAGGTTAATTGAGGTGGGAAGACCCACCCTAAGTCTGGGCAATAGCATTCCATGGGCTGGGTCCTGGACTTAATGAAAAGGAGGAATGGGGTTGAGTACAAGTGTTCGTAGCTCTCTGCTTCCTGACAGTGGATGCAATGTGACCAGCTGCCTCAAGGTCCTGTTGCCATGGCATCCCTGCTGGAGTGGAGTGTACCCTCTGCTGTGAGCCAGAATAAACTCTTCTAGTGTTAAATTGCTTTTGTGTGGTGTTTTGTCTTAGCAGTATGTAAAGTAACTAATGTAGTTGAGAAACATTTAAAAAACACAAAAGTATATAACCAATGAAAAAGTGATTGGATTGTATAGCCATTCTAGGTTTTATTTCCCCTAGACGCATAACCTGGGGAAAGTACATGAATTGTGGTCAAACCTGTATTGCTCCTGACTACGTTCTCTGTGAAGCCTCCCTCCAGGATCAAATTGTACAGAAGATTAAGGAAACAGTCAAGGTCTGTGTTCTGCATTTCTGATCTCACTGATTTCAATAAAATAGTCAAATCAGCTATTTTCAGACAGTGTCTCCATTCCCTTCTCCCTCAGCCCCGGGAAAACTGCAGTAGCATGTGTGATGGAATTAACTTTCTAATTGAAAAATGCTCTGAGCATTGTTTATGGACAAGGCCAAGTTGATTCAAATACACTTAAATTATTTAATTGATCTGTTGATTATTGGTTAAGGCATACACTTAAAAAGTTAAATAATGGTATCTATGATTTTCAGAGAACTTTGTTAAATTACTTGAAGAGACCCTTTGGTATATTAGTCCTGCCGATTAAGGATATCAGTTATCATGTGTGGGGGGGGGGGCGGGAATTGCTAGGAGTTTGAAAGGGTGACATAAATACCTACTTACAGTGTACCTTATAGAGAGTTAGCTATCTTTTAGGGTACATAAAATAATGAAGGCCCATGTTCTAGTAACTAAGCTAAGACTTGAAGGAGATGTAGAATTTCAGTTGTTAGAGAGGAATGGCATGATCAGGGTCACTGAGTTCAGTGGTAGGAAGAGGTTGCTAAGACACCTTGATAAAAGAAATTATTGGAACAACTTGACCCATGTTAGTTGAGCAGCAGAAGGAAGGGTGAAGGGTACCAAAGAGTGATGTATGAACAGAGAATGAAAACTAGACCAGGAAGTTAGGGTGAGGTGGGAATGATCATTAGTGGTGAGACTAAGGATTGATCCAGACAAGGAGAACATGAAGGTTGTCCAGATCTGGGTGTGGGATGGACAAGAAAGTAGGTAAAGATACCTGTGAGATTGTGCATAGTTGAGAATTAGAAAAGTACTTAATTGAATATGGTGATAAAGTCAGTTTCAAAAGGTTAAGAGTCTTTCTTCCTACCTTTGAGGAATTTAACTCATAGGAGTTCTCGACCAAGCTACATGATTGAATCATTAGGGAGCCATTTAAAAATAAGATTCTAATCTTTATCTTTAAGACTGTGATTGAGATGGTCTCCCCCACCCCAACCCCTTTGTGATTTTGTGTCATTCAGTCAGCCTAGAAACAGCTATGTTAGTGGCCCTGGACTTGGACAAAGAACATTCATTTAACAAGCTGCCTGGACCCAGACCTTGAGAGTTGCTCTAGTGGAGAATTGGTGAATAATGCTCATTTTGATTGGAGATTAAATTCAGAGCTTTTACAAGGCTGTGACGTGATTCAGCAATTCAGTAGTTTTGTGGGGGCGGTGCATTATAAATATTGGTTGTATGCTTTTTCAGGTTGCTTTCCTTTGTTTATTTAGGCTGTATTTTGATATTTTGAGTAGTTTCATTGTATCTGTGACTGGTGAAAATACCAGTCCAGAGAAGACAAACCATCAAAGTAGAACTGGCAAACTTCTTTGATAAAGGGCTAGGTGATAGTCAATATTTTAAGGTTTGCAGACCAAAGAGTCCATGCTATGACTGCCACCTTACTTCAGGGAGAGACCATCTGATGTGCAAACAAACGCTGACCCTGATACTGAACAAGGCATCTCCCCTGACACCTCCTACTTCCCCCAGGAAGGGCTGTGAGGAGACAGTGACAGATCTGTAGGAACTTGAAACTCTAGAAAATGATAGATTTTCTTGCCCTTGACTCACCTCAGAGCTGAAGTTGCTACTTTACTATTATTAAATTATTTAAAGAGTGGGTGCTAGATTCTGTGAGGATATAAATCAGGTCAATTTGATTTTGAACTTATTAAAGAAATTTAAGTATAAGCCTTTGTGACAACTCTTGTTGTTTTTAATAGGATTTTTATGGGGAAAACATAAAAGCTTCTCCTGATTATGAAAGGATCATCAATCTTCGTCACTTTAAGAGAATACACAGTTTGCTTGAAGGACAAAAAATAGCTTTTGGTGGGGAGACCGATGAAGCCACATGCTATATAGGTAATGGAATTTGCCTTTTTCTATAAGATAGCAATTTAGCAGTTTTTACCAACACTGATCCTACATAAACTATAAATACTGCTTTCTAGTGTGCTTTCTTAAAACCTATTTTAAACAGATGTATGTATTCATGTTTTATAATACCACCTGTATTGCATTAGTTTTTTAAAAAATATTTTTATTGATTATTTTTATATGTATAAGTGTATTGCCTACATGTATGTAAGTGTACCCATGTCATGCAGTGCCCAAGGAGGTCAGAAGATGATGTCAGAGCCCCTGGATCTGGAGTTATAAATGGTTGTTAGCTGCCATATGGGCCATCTCTCCAGCCCCAATTTTTTTTTGTATTTATACACATACTAATTTTTTTCTTTGAAAACCATGAGAAGCAGAATGGAATTTTACATAATTATCTCTGTACCTGAATGGAAAAGTAGCTTATAATTCCACAATTAGATAATGTCAGAACTCTTGTAGAACTAGTGTTTTGATCTGTCACATTGTCATGTTTAACCTTATTGCTTGTTTACCTTCTTTTGTGTATTTTGACTTTGACTTTTTTTTTTTTTTTTTTTGGGCCGGGTCCTCCCTGTGCCCCCGGCTGTCCTCAACCTCAGTAGGTGGCCCGGGTTGGCCTTGACCCCACAGAGATCGGCCTGCCTCTGCCTCTTGTGTGCTGGGATTAAAGGTGTGTGCTACCATGCCCGGCCTTACTTTGAATTTATTATTATTATTTTTTTTTATTTTATTATTTTTAGTTTATGTGTATGCCTGTATTGCCTGCATATAGGCAAGTGCACCTGTGTCATGCAATGCCCTCAGAGGACAGAAGACGCTGTCAGATCCCTAGGAACTGGAGTTACGGACAGTTGTTAGCTGCCATGTGGGTGCTGGGATTCAAACCCGGGTCTTCTGTAAGAACAACCAGCGTTCTTAACCACTGAACCATCTCTCCAGCCCCAATTATTATTATTTTTATTTTATGTGTATGAGTGTATTGCCTGCATGTAAGTGAGTGCACCCATGTTGTGCAATGCCACAGAGGTCAGAAGAGGGTTTCGGATTCCCCTGGAACTGGAGTTAAGGACAGTTCGTAGCCGCCACGTGGGTACTGGGAATTGAACCCGAGTCTTCTGCAAGAGCAGTCAGTACTCTTAACCACTGAGCCATCTCTCCAGCCCCTGAATTTTTTAAATATGGGACCCCAGGCTGTAAGCATGCTTGGCAAGCACTCTACCACGAGCTACATCCCTAGCCCATGTGACTTTGAATTTATTTATTTTAATTTTTTATTCTTTGTGTGTGTGTGTGTGTGTGTGTGTGTGTCCCCGACCGCTTTCCGTCTCGCCGGCAAGAACGACGCGGGAGGACAAGTCAGGATCCTTCTGCAGCAGTTTATTGTATGCGCATCTTACACTCTTAGAAGCTTAAAGACCGAAGACGCCGAGAAGCGGGAGAGCGGTTGCTTATATAGTCTAAAGGTCCCATCTATGACGTATAAGAAGCGGATTGGTTGCTGGAGATCACGCCACAGGAGGAGGCGAGGGAGAGCAGGCTCTTGTGCACGCCCCTTATGGGCGCAGCAGGATGTTTACTGTTAAGAAGGTCCGGATACCGGCGCCATCTGGTAATGGCGGCGGAGGCTGTGGCTCTCCCCATGTGTGTGTGTGTGTGTGTGTCCCCGCCCGCTTTCCGCCTCGCCGGCAAGAACGACGCGGGAGGACCAGTCAGGATCCTTCTGCAGCAGTTTATTGTATGCGCATCTTACACTCTTAGAAGCTTAAAGACCGAAGACGCCGAGAAGCGGGAGAGCGGTTGCTTATATAGTCTAAAGGTCCCATCTATGACGTATAAGAAGCGGATTGGTTGCTGGAGATCACGCCACAGGAGGAGGCGAGGGAGAGCAGGCTCTTGTGCACGCCCCTTATGGGCGCAGCAGGATGTTTACTGTTAAGAAGGTCCGGATACCGGCGCCATCTGGTAATGGCGGCGGAGGCTGTGGCTCTCCCCATGTGTGTGTGTGTGTGTGTGTCCCCGCCCGCTTTCCGCCTCGCCGGCAAGAACGACGCGGGAGGACCAGTCAGGATCCTTCTGCAGCAGTTTATTGTATGCGCATCTTACACTCTTAGAAGCTTAAAGACCGAAGACGCCGAGAAGCGGGAGAGCGGTTGCTTATATAGTCTAAAGGTCCCATCTATGACGTATAAGAAGCGGATTGGTTGCTGGAGATCACGCCACAGGAGGAGGCGAGGGAGAGCAGGCTCTTGTGCACGCCCCTTATGGGCGCAGCAGGATGTTTACTGTTAAGAAGGTCCGGATACCGGCGCCATCTGGTAATGGCGGCGGAGGCTGTGGCTCTCCCCATGTGTGTGTGTGTGTGTGTGTCCCCGCCCGCTTTCCGCCTCGCCGGCAAGAACGACGCGGGAGGACCAGTCAGGATCCTTCTGCAGCAGTTTATTGTATGCGCATCTTACACTCTTAGAAGCTTAAAGACCGAAGACGCCGAGAAGCGGGAGAGCGGTTGCTTATATAGTCTAAAGGTCCCATCTATGACGTATAAGAAGCGGATTGGTTGCTGGAGATCACGCCACAGGAGGAGGCGAGGGAGAGCAGGCTCTTGTGCACGCCCCTTATGGGCGCAGCAGGATGTTTACTGTTAAGAAGGTCCGGATACCGGCGCCATCTGGTAATGGCGGCGGAGGCTGTGGCTCTCCCCATGTGTGTGTGTGTGTGTGTGTCCCCGCCCGCTTTCCGCCTCGCCGGCAAGAACGACGCGGGAGGACCAGTCAGGATCCTTCTGCAGCAGTTTATTGTATGCGCATCTTACACTCTTAGAAGCTTAAAGACCGAAGACGCCGAGAAGCGGGAGAGCGGTTGCTTATATAGTCTAAAGGTCCCATCTATGACGTATAAGAAGCGGATTGGTTGCTGGAGATCACGCCACAGGAGGAGGCGAGGGAGAGCAGGCTCTTGTGCACGCCCCTTATGGGCGCAGCAGGATGTTTACTGTTAAGAAGGTCCGGATACCGGCGCCATCTGGTAATGGCGGCGGAGGCTGTGGCTCTCCCCATGTGTGTGTGTGTGTGTGTGTCCCCGCCCGCTTTCCGCCTCGCCGGCAAGAACGACGCGGGAGGACCAGTCAGGATCCTTCTGCAGCAGTTTATTGTATGCGCATCTTACACTCTTAGAAGCTTAAAGACCGAAGACGCCGAGAAGCGGGAGAGCGGTTGCTTATATAGTCTAAAGGTCCCATCTATGACGTATAAGAAGCGGATTGGTTGCTGGAGATCACGCCACAGGAGGAGGCGAGGGAGAGCAGGCTCTTGTGCACGCCCCTTATGGGCGCAGCAGGATGTTTACTGTTAAGAAGGTCCGGATACCGGCGCCATCTGGTAATGGCGGCGGAGGCTGTGGCTCTCCCCATGTGTGTGTGTGTGTGTGTGTCCCCGCCCGCTTTCCGCCTCGCCGGCAAGAACGACGCGGGAGGACCAGTCAGGATCCTTCTGCAGCAGTTTATTGTATGCGCATCTTACACTCTTAGAAGCTTAAAGACCGAAGACGCCGAGAAGCGGGAGAGCGGTTGCTTATATAGTCTAAAGGTCCCATCTATGACGTATAAGAAGCGGATTGGTTGCTGGAGATCACGCCACAGGAGGAGGCGAGGGAGAGCAGGCTCTTGTGCACGCCCCTTATGGGCGCAGCAGGATGTTTACTGTTAAGAAGGTCCGGATACCGGCGCCATCTTGTAATGGCGGCGGAGGCTGTGGCTCTCCACATGTGTGTGTGTGTGTGTGTGTGAGTGTGTGACATATGTGCTATGGTATGCATGTTGCAGTCAGAGGACAACTTCTAGGAGTCAGTTTTCTCCTACCATGGAGGTTCTGGGGTTGAAATCAGGTTGAGAGGCTTGGTGGCAAGCACCATTATCCACTGACCATGTCATTGGCCCTTAGTTTGAATTTTAAACAAAATTTCCAAAAATAACATATAAAATAAGAAATGCAAAGTCACTTGGTGGGCAAAAAACTACACCAAATTAATGTACTTATCCTTTCTTATCAGCTATTACTAAAAAAAAAAGGTTTATAAAACCTTTAGAAGATTTAAATGATGAGAAATTTACAAGAGTGTTGCTGGGTTGGATAATTCAGTGGTTTAGTAATACCATCAAAAAACTCCAGTCAATTCCGTTTACTGTTCTTCCTATCTTCTGGCTGGCAACCTGACCCATTTCTAGGTCAATCAGTTACAAGAAGGAAGGGCTGTCATGACTAATCTGCTCTAATTAGGGCTTTCCCCTGAGCTAGACAGTAGATTTAGGAAGCAGCTTTTTGTTGTTGTTGGGACTCAAACTTGGATCTGGTGCATTGTAAGAGGACTTTAAAAATAATAACAAAAACCAATAATACCTTGAATGGGAGAGGGAAAGAAATGGATAGTTGACCCTGTGAAACAAACAGAAGATGAGAATTTTGCATTTTTATCTTCAACTTTATCATTTTCTTCTTTCTTTCTTTCTTTCTTTCTTTCTTTCTTTCTTTCTTTCTTTCTTTCTATCTATCTATCCATCCATTAATCTCCAACCGTACTTACTGATGTTGATCCTAAAACTAAGGTGATGCAAGAAGAAATTTTTGGACCAATTCTTCCAATAGTACCTGTGAAAAATGTAGATGAAGCCATAAATTTCATAAATGATCGTGAGAAGCCCCTGGCTCTCTATGTATTTTCTCGTAACAATAAGGTAAACTTTGTAGAGAACAACTCACTCTTCAGATTTCTAGCTTGCTATCAAACATAAATGGTTTATTTGTATATCAAAGTTCACTGGAGGACTGTCTTCATAGCTTGCTGTCATAGGTAATGGGTCCCTGGGTTATCACTATGCCCTTTTCCCTTACTCTACAGAATTAGATCTGAATCCACAGGGGTGACTGTCACAAGGCTTTTGACTCACAAACACCTCTTGTATAATTAGAAAACGTCCACGTACCAGTAAGCAGTCCTTTCTGTGATGTGAATCCATAGAGCATTGCTGTGGAAGAGCCTCCCCAGTGACTCAAATGGCATTCACAGCCACTCAGGTGAAGCTGGGGAAAACAGAGACCTCTGGCACTATCATATAAATGTTTGTGGGAATTTGGATTTCAGGTTCCCAAATTATGTTATTTTTTGTTCTTGTTAGAATTGTAAAATCATATCACTAAACAGAATGGCTCTGCCACTTTCTGCATGGCACCGTCATTCATGTTACTAGCTAACTGGCAGCTTTTAGCAGAGGGTGGCTTCCATGTAGACATGTCAGTTTAGGATCCTTCTGAAAAAAATGGAAGGGGAGCTAGGTGTGGTGGTGCATGCCTTTAATCCCAGCACTTGGGAGGCAGAGGCAGGTGGATCTCTGTGAGTTCAAGGCCAGCCTGGTCTACATAGTGAGTTCCAGGACAGCTGGGGCTACAGGGAGACCGTGTCTCAAAAAGATTAAAAAATAAAATTAAAAAAAAAAAAAGGAAGTGGAGGAGAGGACCAGTCAGCATGAGTTCATTGGCCACATGTGATCTGCAGAGTTTTTGGTGGTGAGGGCTGGTGGTCATGTGGCAGTTTCTAGAGCTGTCAGTTCTGGTGAGGTTCTGACAGCTACAGGTACTTGAAAAGATAAACTTGCATAAACAGAACAGTGGTCTGTTTTTAAAATGACCACAGATTATACTAGGAACCCTGAAGTCTACTGGCAGCTTGTAGCTGGGTGGAGAGCTCTTCCCTACAGTGTTACCTGAAGTCACCACAGTCCAGATTTGATATTCACCATGAAGAATTCCCAAGGCTTATTGATATCTAGGTGAAGTGACATTCATCGCTTTAGTGTCATTGAATCTTTTTGAGTCTTAGGTCAACCAGCTTTTTATTTTTTTATTTCTTCAAAAATATAATGCCAAGTCTGAAGTCTTTTATTAACCATGTAGTATAATTTAGATCAGAGATTGAGAGATAATAATTTTTGTCTTTTTTTTTTATGGTCTTTTTGAGACAGGGTCTCCCTGTAGCCACAGCTGGCCCGGAACTCACTGTGGAGACTAGGATAGCCTCAGTCTCACAGAGATCCAACTGTTTCTGCCTCCCAAGTGCAGGGATTAAAGGCATGTTCCTCCAGGCCTGGCTAAGAGAAATAGTAATTTTAGAATATTTTTATTCTTTGAGAATTTCATACATGCATACAATGTATTTTGATCATATTTACTCCCTACTCCTCCCTCTAACTTCTGTTTGTGCAGCCTATTTACCCATGGGTGTAGGGATATCCACTGGAGCATGGTCAATGTATCAGGGCCTCGCCATAATGAAAACTTGACTCTCCCTCTCCCAGAAGCTGTCAACTATCAATAGCTCCTTAGCTAGGGCTGGAGGTTGGTGAGCCCCTCCTCCCTCCATGCTAAAATGTTGACTGGCTTGATCTTGTGCAGGTCCTATGAAGGCAGCCACAGCTGCTCTGAGTTCATGGGTACAGCAGTCCTATCCATCCAGGAGGCACTGTTCCTCTCTGGTCCTCCCTGACCTCTGGCTCTTACAATCTTTCTTCCCCTTCCATGATAATCCCCGAGCCTTGTGGGGCTCTGAGGAATGATATAGATGCCCCATTTTTGGCTGAGCACTCCATAGATACTTATTCTCTTCAGTTTGACTAATTGTGAGTTTCTGCATTAACCACCATCCACTGCACAAAGAAACTTTTCTAATGAGGTCTGAAAGCTGCACTGATCTATGGGTATAGAGATACAAGTTTAGAGGGCAGTTTTATACTATGTCCATTTACCAAAAGAATAGCAATAGGTTCACCACTGGGGCCTATGAGCTCCCCAGCTTTGAGTTCTTGGTCAGATTTATAGTACCAGACATGTATTTCCACCAATGAAGCAGGCTTTAAATCTGATCAGAAAGCTGGTTACCCTTATAACATTGATGCCACTATTGCATTCAGTGGCATATCTTGCAACACCAGTTGTTACTGTAGCTTATCACGTTCATAGCTGGGCATGACTTTTGATGACTTTTTCCCCAGCAGACTAAGCCTGGTCAGTACCACTTTGAAAGAAGCGATTTCTAAACCGTTCTGTATTGCTGCTATTTTGGAGAGTACAACTCTAGATGGTGATCAAGTGAACAGATCCAAAGGTTCAGGAGTGCCTCCCTTGATCTGTGGGGATGTGCTAAGGACCAGAAGTGTGTCAGATTTTGTTTTGTTTTTTGGTCTTTTTGAGACAGTCTCCCTGTAGCCCTAGCTGGCCTGGAACTCACTATGTAGACCAGGCTGACCTTAAACTCAGAGAGATCTGCCTGTTTCTGCCTCCAGAGTGCTGGGATTAAAGGCATGTGCTACCACACCTGGCCAGATTTTTTTTTTTTTTTTAAGGCAGGGTCTCACTGTGTATCCTAGGTTGGCCTTAAATCCTCTTGCTGCAGCCTCCAAAGTGCTAAGATTACAAGCTTTTGTCACCACCCAGCTTGATTTCAGACTTTTTGAGATTTGGAATATTTGCCTATAAATAATAAGATACATTGGAGATGGGACCAGAGTCTAAACAAAAAATTCTTTTGTGTTTCATGAGACCATATACACATAGCCTGAAGACAATTTTATACAATATTTTTAATAATTTTTTTGCATAAAGTTCGTGCACCCCGAAACTGAAGAACCTGCAACAGCACACAAAGCCAAGATGTCCATTCCTAGATCCCACAGTGAATGCTTTCCAAGTCCAGGGGTAAATGACCTTAGGTCTGACCTGGGTGCCTTTGGTCTGTTCTCAGCTCATCAAACGGATGATTGATGAGACTTCCAGCGGTGGTGTCACAGGAAATGATGTCATCATGCACTTTACTGTCAATTCTTTGCCCTTTGGAGGTGTGGGTAAGTATTACCTTCTCTTGAATGTAAAAATGCCAAAAGCACATTTCCTTAGGTCCTTGTATGGGCTGTGGAAAGCAAGCTGCTGCTTATTCTGCAGGTCCCTGTGAGTTTGTTCTGTCCTAAGGGAGGCCCAGCCTTGCCATCCAGTTGGCAGTAATGTTCCTGATTGCCTGCCTAACACCCTCAGGGTAAATCTGTCCTGTCACTCTGTCCTCAGTAGCACTGCTCATTGCTCACTTTGTGATGACTTTGTTGGTTTGTTGTGCTACCAGGTTTAAGAGGCTTGCTGGCTGAACCCAGTGCCTCTTGCATGTTAGACAAATACTTTACCAACTAAGCTACATACCCAGCCTACATTTTCTAATTTTTTAAAAGCATTTACTCATGGTATTTATTTTGTGATATTTCATAAATAAGAATCTTTATTTTTTCCCAAAGAGTAAGACAGTGAAACCTATTTTTTTTGTAATAATCATCTTTATATCATCTGTATTTAATTAAAAACACATACTTGGGGGGCTGGGGAGATGGCTCAGTGGTTAAGAATACTGGCTGTTCTTGCAGAAAACCTGGGTTCAAATCCCAGCACCCACATGGCAGCTAACAACTGTCCATAACTCCAGTTCCAGGGGATCCGACAGCCTCTTCTGTCCTCTGAGGGCATTGCACGACACAGGTCCACTTACCTACATGCAGGCAATACACACATACACATAAAAATAATAAATAAAATATTTAAAAAAAATACTTGGTCATTCTGAAGACTTTCCTCTTTGGTTTCATTATCTTTCCAGCTTCTCTTTCTGTGGGCCAGCAATGTAGTTTTAATTACAGTAATGGTATACTTAATTTGTAGCTAGAATTCAATTTATGCTTATTATGTGCCCCATACTGTGCTGAGTACTTTTTTAGAGATGAATCACTAGTAACTACTAGAGCCAGGGAGTGAGTGAAAATTCCTATCTCTAAAACTTGTTTGCTGCTGAGGAATAGCACTGCCTTAGTTTCTAAGAGTCGGTCCCTCACTGTTAGTTTGCAGTGTTTTCTTGCCTATTTCCTAGTTGATTCTTCCAGAAGAACTTTAGAATCACTCCTATAGGCCTCTTCCAAAAAAAACAGAAACAAACAAAAAAACCCTCCAACTCCCCGCCCCCACCGAAATTTAGATTAAAATTGCTTTAAACTTGACACATCATTTTGGAAAGAATTTATACTTTTAGAATGTGGACTTTCAGTGTTCTCTCTCTTCCTGTCAGTTCTATAACTTTTTCATTTTTTTATTATAAGTACTTTTCCACCCAGCTTTTCTTCCTTCAGCTCTTTGTACATTGATTTCCCAGCTCCTTCCTGTCATGGTCCTGACTGTAGCTGACTCCTCTTAATCCCCTCTCTGTGTCCTCAGATTTTTTTCTTTGGTTTCATTATCTTTCCAGTGAAGCAGTCTTGCTTTCTGAATGACTCCTCTCCACCAAAACACTGGTTATTCAGCTGCAGCCCAGCCCCAGCCCACTGGCCCCTATTCCCTCAGTCACCATGTTATACGTGTGCCATTGCCACTGCACAGGGCATGCTTCTTGGTGTCCATCTGTGGTGTGTGTCATGAATTACAATGCAGAGCGGGCCTCCAGAAGGCAAAGATTTCACTTGCTTATTCTTGCCCAGCTGTGTTACCTTGTCACCTGATCTTGGTTACTCTCCAGGGGCTTAAAGGAGACAAGAGGAGGGGCCATGAATATGTAAGGCCATGTGAAGTGATAGGAAAAGATCACATGTAGCATTTAGCATCAGATTAGTCTGGGCTACATTCCAGCTTTGTTCTTTAATGGCCACATGACCTTAGGCAGATAACTGGCTCTGTACAGTGTTTTTCCCTCTGGTATACACCACCATAGGGCTGTGGTGGGAGTCCCCATAGAAAAGCCATTTAAGCCCCCAGCACACTGCCAGCATAAAGAGGAGCATAAGCATAGAAGGCAAATCTGGCCCTGGCTGAGAGGGTATGTGGACTGTGCTAGGGGCAATCTAGGAAGGATTTCCTGAGAAGAAAGACTTTACTGGCAGAGAAGTTTGGTGCCTCCCCCAAAGTGGGAGCATCACTGGGCTTTCTTGGTCAGTGCTGAGATGAGATACAGCTTATAATGAAACTTGTTCTGTCTGTCCATTTATTTCAGGTTCCAGTGGGATGGGAGCTTATCATGGAAAGTATAGTTTTGATACTTTCTCTCATCAACGTCCATGTTTATTAAAAAGTTTAAAGGGAGAGAGTGTTAACAAGCTCAGATATCCACCCAACAGTCAGTCCAAGGTCAGTTGGGCAAAATTTTTCCTGCTGAAGCAGTTCAAAAAAGAAAAACTCCAGCTCCTGTTGCTCATGTTCGTGGGTGTGGTGACAGCTGTGGTTGTCAAGGTGAGTCCTCTTTGCCCTCATGAGGCGCTATTCCTTCCGGTCCTGTCCCTGAGCCTGCCAGATGCATCACCTTCCTACTGTCTTGGAACCTCCTTTAGTTTTATAAATTAATTTTGTGATACTATCCTAACTTTTAGAGTCTCAATCAGAGTTGGTGAACTATAGCCTGCTGGCCAGCTTCCTGTTACTGTAAATAAAGCTCTCCTTACATAGTTGTTTACTTGCTGTCTTAGCTGACTTTCTGCTGCGAGACCAGAGTTCAGTAGTTGTGACAAAGGCCAAATGGCCCAGAAAGCCAAAATTATTACAGGAGTTTGCTGACTTCTGGTCTAAGAGTCTAAAACTGTAGACCTTGCCAATAGAACTGAGTGGTCTAGCCCTCTGAGCCGCTGGGTCTTGGTCTTCCCTGTTCAGCTTCAGTTTGTTCTTGAAGTTAATGAAATCATGTCATAGGACTGTGGTAGGTGATGGTGGTGGTGGTGGTGAAGGAACTTTGTCAAGGGGTGTAATTTTATTAGGTGTATTTTTCCTCCAAAGTTGATTGCCAAATAGTTTGTCTTTGGTTGACAGGCCATTCTAGAGGTGGGATTGCAAAGAGCTTCTTGTGATAGCTGCTTTCCCTGGGTGGTTTGTGCATCTCTGGGGTGAAGAAGGAGATCTGTGAGAATGAAAGTCAAGATGGAATGGGAGAGGAGTCCTCAGACAGCCAACTGAGGAGATGCATTGAAAACATGAACAACTTTTGTGAAGAATGGATGTAATAGAGGCAAGAATCACGCATGTAGTGGAATTTCCATGTTTATAAGTTACACACTTTGGTTAAAATTTGAAAAGAGGTTGTTCATCTTACAGTACTACTACTTTGGTGGAATTGGTAATAACAGTTACATTTGAAATCATTTGAAATCATTTTCTCAGAAATACCAAGCTGTGCTGAGGAAAAAGGCCCTGTTGGTTTGTCTGGTAGTTCACAGACTGCATTGGTCCAGTAAGCAGTGATGAACAGATTTCAAATCCCAGCTCTATCTGTTGAGTGAGGTAGGAATTCCTTGTTTTCTGTCTTTATGTGAGGTGGGCCACATTGGAGTCTGTTTGGTTTTAGATGTCTATGTCTACAGCTGGCAGTTTAGGGTTACTGAAAAAAGAATGCTTAGCTTATTGCTACACATATTGGACCTTGGCCCAGAGCTAATTATAATGTTAAAATTCAATATACCCACCATTTTCAAAGGGAGGGGGTACTGGGAACCTAAGAAATATATAGGGGTAAGGGTTAGGCTGGGTCTGGTGGAGCCCGCATCATTTCTGAAAACGGGCAGTCATATGTTGAGCTCCTCTGTCCTTCCTCTCCCTCAGGTCTGAAGGAAGTGCCAGGTTCTTCAAACCTGTGGTCACCGTTTATACGCTGAACCCTGTTTCATAATTTGAAAATTTTTTCATTTTCATTAAAAAAAAAAAAGCTCTAACTCTGGAATTCACAGTGGTAGTTCAAGGGTTTTCTGTTCTACATCTTTCTGAGGCTGGTGATTTGGTGAAGGCAGGCTTGGGTTCTGAAGGAAGCCAGGTTCTTCAAACCTGTGGTCACCGTTTATACGCTGAACCCTGTTTCATAATTTGAAAATTTTTTCATTTTCATTAAAAAAAAAAAGCTCTAACTCTGGAATTCACAGTGGTAGTTCAAGGGTTTTCTGTTCTACATCTTTCTGAGGCTGGTGATTTGGTGAAGGCAGGCTTGGGTCTCTGGTCACTTTGGTTCCCTTTCCTGATGTGCATATTCTCAGAATAATTTCTCAGCCTCTTGAATGACATGAAGGATAAGACTGAGCTGATGCTCCCTGGGTTTGCCCACACGAGGCAGATTCGAGCTCCCTAAGGTATTTATAAAAAGGTCTCCCTCGGTCAGGTCTAGAGAAGCAGTTGTACACCTTAGCAGGTGTGAGAACATGTGGGTTTGATCCTTGGCTTGGTTGTTAAGATTCTGGACAAATCCTTTTCTGAGCCCTCAGTTGGATCTTAACTACAGAAAGTGGAGCAGTTTGTGATTTCCCAGGCCACTTCAGTCTCTACTATTAGCCTGTATTTTGCTGGGGTTTTATTTTTCAGTCAGTGTGGGGCTACATGAGATTTGGTTTTCTTTGGCACTTTGCTGATTCTCTGCTTTTTTCCTCTTGACCTTTTAATTTAGAATATAGATTGTATACTTATTTGAGACTGCAAAAACATTCTGGGAAAAAATTTTTGAAGGGCTTTTTTTTTGCATAGTTTTATGCATGCTAAGTACCACTGAGTTAAATCCCCAGCAAACTGGAGCTTATTTTTAAAGGCACACACAGAGTACAGCATGACTCTTCAGTACTCACACACTGATGATTGGGTCAGGATCACTGCCTGTCACCCAAGGAACGCTCAGAAATTCTCTGTGTTAGCCATTTTACAATAGGCAGTTATGTGCTTCCAACCACAGTTTGAAGAGTCTGTTGTATTTACAGTTTACAGTCACTTTTCTAAAGTGGCTTTTCTGCACTTTGTAGTTTACTTACATTGTTAGATTTCATTTTATTAATTTACTGAAATTAGAGTAAATTTAGAGCCAAGTTCACAAACTAAAGTTCCAGTAAAGTTTCTTAGCCTTAGCCTTTAATGGCTGTGCTATCATCCCTCCAGCCCTCCAGTAAAGTTTGTAAGCTATAGAAAGTGTTCTAGCTGGTCTGGTTTTAAAAGGTGGAGAAATACCAAAGTTGCTTAAAGTTAAGAAATGTTGTGGGCCGGTGCCTGCTCATGACATCTACCATTCTCACTTTGGTTTGCAACAGCACTTCTCAATAGGCAGGGTATCATCCTCACTGCTACTGAACTGTAGAAATGAGTTTGTCACTTTGTAATTTCATGGAGACTTCAGCTTCCTGCTCAGTCTCTGCTGTTACCTCTTGACCTGGGTCAGAGTAGTCTCTACCACCACCTGTTTCATTGTTACTATTGAGGGAAGGCACATTCTTTATATTCAGTTGAAACTACATGTACAGCTTCCTAGGGACACAGCTCTTTTTTCTATAATGCATGTAGAGTCTCTTAAGAAAGAGGTATTTGTTAGAATCCCAGTCCGGCGCTCATGTTCTGAGGCTGGGTGTGGTGGGTTTTTTAATAGCGTAACGTGGATGCTTTTCTCTTCTCTCCAGATTCTATACTACTGAAGAATGATCCTGTTCAACCTCCTGCTAGCCTCAACTGAATTATTCCTCTACTTAAATGGTTAACAAACCAATAATTTACAAATCTACTTGAACCAGAAAGTACGCAGATACACTGTAATCAAATCTAAAAGTCATCGCCACTCACCATTGATGAAGTGTGTTATTTAAGCCAAATTCCAACATTTTTCAGCAGTGAATATATTCAGAGAACTTAGATTAGGCTGAGGGTAAGAATGTGTCAGGCTAAGTCCCAGATCTGTAGGGATATAGGGTGACCCAGAAGCTACTCCCATCACTTTTTTGCCCCAGGCCATAGGACTTGCCACTTATGCCTCTCTGCTGCCATCCATAGATAAAGCTCTTAAGTGCTCAGCACTGCCCAGGCTTGTCTGGAGAGGTTAGGTCTTCTCAGCTCACTTTGAGGATTGAGGCACCAAAAGTGGGAGACGTGGACATGTGTACCTCATCCTTGGGACTTGAGAACACTGACCTTCACAAATCCACTCTCTGGTTAGACATCCTTTCTTCATTTCCATCACTTGGAATGTGTTAGGACTGTCCTCAGTGCCTTTTGTGACTACTTACACTACACTGAGCCAGAAGGCCAAGAAGCAGTGCCTTTTTTGTGTGAATAATTTCACTCAGAGCATCTTGTAAATGCTAGGACTTCCTAAGATCTTTACCAGTACATACACACATTACCTGTCACTTGTATGATGTTGGAGTTTCAGAATTCATCTTATTAAAGCCTAAGTGGCATTTAATGAAAGTAGTAATAAAAAATACTGCTACGTGCAAATACTGCTATGTGCAGTGGTGTATCCTGTGATCACAGCTCTTCCAGAGGCTAAAGTCAGCCTGGGCAACCCAGTGAGGACCCTCCTACTCTCTTCCCAGATCTCCTCATGCTCTTAAAGTTGCAAGTTATATAAATCAGGGATAAATCTTTTGCTTATTTTAGCACAATGCAAGGAAATTCCACTTTTTAAAACTTTAGCCAGATCCCTTTCTGAATAAATTCAGCCTACAAAACTTAAAGTAGGGGGACCATTTCCTGTCATGGAAAAAGAGGTTATTAGGATTTGAGGCTTGAGAACTTCATTGAAACACAGATGATGGGACCTTTAGAGAAGTTTGGAGAACACTGTAAGCTGGTGGAACATCCTGAGGGGAGGAGGATGGCTAAAGGAGCTCTTGACCAATGAAATGAATGAGAATCCAGAGCTTGATGTGTCCAGGACATGAGGCACATCAGCCCAAGTGGAGAAGTGAGAAAGGAGCCCATGTGGGATGCCACAGTCCCTGCTCCTGTCCAGGACAGGGCTGGGCCCGAGCTCCTGGCTACAGGGACCTCACTACTTCCCTGAGATTCAAATAAGACTTGACCCATTCAGTGAGAATGTAATTTGGTTTATTGAGTGTGTGATCATCTTTGTTGAAAAGCTTGCTTCACCATTAAGGCTGTCTTGAAATACAACTGTCACAGCATGAGTGAGGTATTCAGAACTAATCATGGGCCTTCTATAGCAAAAAGTGGTTTAAGTGCTGATAACCATAGAATAATCAAAATATTTTGCACAGTATTTCAGTGTAGAAAGGAACTTTTAATGTATTAAATTATAAATTATTATTTCTAGTCAAGCTAGAATACTTATGTACTCTACTAATCTTCTTTAAAATAAATACATTTCATAAAATTAGCATGAATATTAATTTCAGCCTTGGATGTAGAGATAATTCTTTGTTTACAGATTTTCTCTATAAATCCTTTTTAAAAAAATCTTATCAGAGATTGTATTTGCTAACTCTCATTGTTATGTGTTTTATTTGAAAAATTCTTAGCCAAGGAGTTAGAGAGATGGCTCAGCAGTTAAGGGCACTGGCTGCTCTTAACAGAGGACCTGGGTTCCATTCCCAGTACCCACATGGTGTCTAACAACTGTCCATATCTCTGCTTTTAGGGGATCCGATGCCGTCTTCTGACCTCTGCAGGCATTGCACTCACAGGTGCACTTATATTAATGCAGTCAAAACATTCATACTTATAAAATTAAATTAATTGAGTTTCAGGCCAGCTGGGGTTACAGGGAAACCCGGTCTCAAAAAGACCAAAAAAAAAAACAAATTAAAATTCTTAGCCAAGATTTTCTCAGACTTGACATTCTTGAGGTGGGGGTGTCTGTGTCTCTGTGTGTCTGTGTTTTGGGTGGCCTGATTTACCATTGAGCCCCAGCTGTTCATCCATCAGTCACCTGAAGAAACCGAGAACCAAGAATTTGGATCAGTGCTAACTGCCATCCTGAGGCTGTGTGGCTAACAAGCTGGGCTGCTGTAGTCTGCACTATATCACTGCTGTACAGGATAGTTCATCTGATAGGTGAATGTAAGAACTGGAGGGATGGGGAAGAAGGTTGTACCCAATCCTTCCCCTACCTGGCCAGGACTGCCCACTGGTGGCCACTGAAGTGCCCAGGCCTGGCTAGGAAGGGCCTACTGGCTCTTCTCAGAGGTCCACAAAGCTTTAAAAACAGATTGGCAGCAGATTGTGCCAGGAAATGTAAGCTTTAATGCTTAATGTCCAGTGCATTTTGAATTTTTGTTTTAGTTGAAATCTTTAACTTGAAGCCCTTTATATCCACGAATGATACCAGTAATCCCACGATTGTCAGTCTCCCAATGGGTTCTTTTCCAAAGAGCAGTCTAGGTCAGAGAAGGAAAGGTCAGTTGAATCACAGCAAAGTGGCTGCCCCAGGATAACACAGGTACTGAGTAGAGTGCAGGTGTGTGCTGGCATGGCCATTCACCTTTGTTTCCTAACACCTTTGCTAGTGGTCAGGACCTAAAAGCCCCAACTCAAGTAGCTAATGCCACTCTTAGGGCAACCCTTAGCCTATTCCCATCACAGTCTAATGACGGTGCAAGGGTACAAGCTACCTCTGGAGCATGTGGTACTCTTTCTTGGATTCCTCATGAAATTAATGCTGGGGGGAGGCAGCGGCTGGGGGCAGAGCTGCCTTGGACACTGCAGAAGAAAACAGCAAATTCAGCAGTGCAGAGAACTTCAGCCTTGGCATAGGAAACCAGGTTAAGGCAGTCTGCATTAGTGGAGCCTCAGCACCTCAGGAAAGCATACCTGGAGAATCAGAATGTGCCTGCAGTTACTACAAGTGGGACCAGAGAAGGTATGTGGGGTAGGATCTTAAGCTGCAGGTTGATGCACAGGTAGAACATCAGGCACTCCTGCTCTGCTGCTTCTGGCCCCAACTGGAGCTGGACTAGTGAAATGCCCATCCTAGGGAGGGGGTTTCTGAGCTGGGTAAGCTGTCCTTGTATGGGTGCCCACCTGTGATCTTCCGCTACCCATGAGGAACTGCTGGATCCCCTAAGGCCCACCATTTGGTGTACATGGTGAGCATGCCAGGGATGATGGGGCACAGGGCTGGGTCCTGCAGAGACCCGGCTGCCCAGGCCTGTAGGGAGGCTCTGGGTGTCTTGGCTCTTCCCATTCCTGGGCACACAGGCCCGGGCATGTTACACCTTGCTTGGAGGATGTAGATTGGGTTACTGCTGGTGTAGGTGGAAGAGCAGTCAGGGACATGGCTCCAGGCTTATCTGGCTGACAGGACAGGGTGGCCCAGTTGGGCCCAGGGCACAGGTGTTGGTCCCCACTTGCCTTCCACACCTTGACATCTTGAGTAACTCCTGGCACACCCTAGGCTGGTGTCTCATGTGAAAATGACCAGAACTTGAAGACAGGGAAGGGATTCACGAAGCAAAACTTTGCTTGTGAGATGGGCCCAGCCAGCAGGACTCCATGAGGAGTCAGGGTCCTGTAGCTATTGATGAAGGGCCTGGCAGGGGAGCTTTCCCCTTGCTGGGCTTGCTCTCTGGGATTGCTTCTCTGGTGTTTGGGGAGTGACTAGACCTCTGTGTCAGTCTCAGCAGCCAGGAAGAGAAAAATAGGGTACTGTGATGCTTTTCAGGTCAGGAATGTAGGGCATGCACCTCCTCTCACCTGTCATTACTCCTGGGTAGAGCATGATAAGCAAGCACACTGGGTCAGATTCCTCCAAGGGTCCTGCAGAGTTCTGCACCATGGCATGCTGGATGGAGAAGCAAAGGGGGCCCTGAAGGGACAAGGAGGCCACCCAAGACAACTTCCACCCCTAACCCTCAGAGGTAGCACCAGGGTGCCACTTAGCCTCCCAGGGCAGGGCCGCCCTCCATGCCTGCTCTCACATCCAGGTGCAGTAGCTTCTGAAGCACAGGATAGAAGGTGAAGACAGCATGCATGAATCAAATCTGAGATGGTGTTGGCATTGCATAGCTCAAGGCTGGGGCAGTAATACTGCTCCAAAGAGCCCTCACCCCAAGGGAGGAAGAACAGGAGGAGGAAGCACCAGCATGGCTCATTAGTTCCTGCATACTCCTGGTCTGGAATTAGCTTTCCCATGGCTGCAGACCCCTTTGACCACCTCTCCTCCACCCTAGCAGCCAGCCCCTGTCCCCAGCTCTCTGCCTCTCGTGAGCTGGGCCGACATGGGCAATGGTGCCCCTCCCACCTGACTGGGCCCAAACTGAGGTGCCTTCCCTAGGCTTTTAGAACCTGAGGGATCAACAGACCCCAGTTCCCCATGACAACCTACATCTGGTGGCCTGGACAGGTACAAATGGTGACTGGCCGGCCCTGTCCAGTGCTGGAGACCCAAGCCACTCCAGCATACCAGCCCCAAGGCTTACATGACCAGGTTCAGCTTGGAAACCAGGGTATAGTTGGCCACACAGTGTGTTACAAGAAAATCAGAGACCAGCAGCCAAAGTTGGGTGAGGAGAGGGATTTAATCTTACACTAGTGGACTGACCACAGATCCTTCCATAAAGGAGCCAGTACCCCCCTCCAGTTTCAGAGGTTTTTATATTCATGTGAGGAAGTACAAGTAAAAGACAAAACAGCACATAAGTAAAAGGTACATGTGATGATTATGCAAGGTATGGCTACAGGGGTTACAAAGACTTCCTTCCAGGTCGACCATAGGAGGCAGGATGGACAAAGACTCCAGCTTATCTCCCCAGTCTTATCTCTTGTCTATGAGCTCTTCTTGCTCCAAAGTTCTTAATTACCATCACATTGCAAAAGCTTTCCACCTTCACAATAAGTGGACATGGTCTCCACCCTCCTGAGGCCTTGAAACCTATCAATCCCTTACCCCACAAAACAACTGGCCTTGTGATGATGTAGGGGATAACTAGGGAGTAAGATTCATGCAGAGCTTGGAAGAGACAGTAACCTCTCCCCAGCCCTGTCCCAGAGACCAGAACCTAGCAGAGCAGGTTGGAAGTAATCCCTTTCAAGGGCAGGAGAGGGGAAGCAGTGCCCTGCTGGACTAAAGCAGTGAGCTGCCCCTCTCCTCTAGCCAGGGTCTGTACCTGAGTTCACAAAGATTTTTTGACAAGCAGATTTTAAAGAAAAATCATTATATAATAAAGCAAAACAAGACAAAAATCAGAATAGTAATGACAAAAGGCCGATCAGATAACAACAAATACTCCTTTCTAGAGCAAAGGGACCTTAGTTTGCTTTACCTGTCATGTCTGGGAGCTCTTGGGTAAGTGCTAGCCCTGCCTATTTGGTCATCAGGGAATACTTGGATGAACCTGTCCTCTGAGAGAGCACACTGTAGCACACCTGTTGACAGGCAGAGTGCTGGGTACTTGCCTGCCATCCTATGCCCCCATCAAGTCAAGAAGATGACCTTGAGGACATCTGGCTCTCCAAAGGCCTACCAAGCACATGGACCACATCCACTTTAGGGCTGACTGGCTTCCAGAGACCAAGTTTTGGAGGGAGTGGCTTTAGAGTCAAGGGCATGACAGGAACTGAATGCTGCTCTGCCATGCATGGCCTCTGCTGAGCAGGGTCTAGACCCTGTGAGAATGGCAGGGCCCATCTTGTCTGCAGAGGACAGAGGGGCATACATACAAACTAGTATTTGTGTCAGGGACATCAGCAGAATTCTGACCTAGGTCCTGCACCTTTCTGTCCCATTCCTTACTGTAGTTTTTCTTTTCAGTAATCTGGGTCTAGACTGCCTGGGTTCAAATCCTAGCTCAGCCTCTTCTGACCTATGTGATGTTGGGCAAGCTACTTAACCTCTCTAAGCTTCAGTTTCCTTGTGTAATGGGGAGATACATAAAACCTTAGCAGTATTATCTGTATAACTACATATAGTTGATATTGCAAAGGTGCTTTCAAAACAGTTCTGGCACATTTAAGCATGCCAAGTGTTAGGAAAGCATTATGTAAGTGTTGCTTATTACTGTTGTTACTGGCATTTAGGTTTTGCAGCAATGTCTTATGGAAAGGCCTTGCTTTGTTTGCTAAAGCAGACACTACAGCCTCCCCTGACCCAGCACCCAAGGTCTAATATTTGACAAGATGTCATCAGCTTGGTCTTATATACATGTATGAAATGGCCAAAGAACAATAAATTTTAAAACTTTAAGGTAAAGAAAAGAACATAACCATGTATGTTGAGAATGTGTTGAATACGCCTAAACTGCTGACCTCCTAGCTCAACTTTGCCTTGATAGGTAGAGAGCGGGAGAGAGCGAGCGGATGGATGGAGGAGGCACCAAGGCACAGATGGAATTCTCAGCGGGATACAGATTTATTTCACACGGGGCACCTTTCCCTCAGGGAA